AAATAATAATTGCCCGTACACTACATCAGATTTTAATCAGATTGATATACGTACTACATGTGGACTTCTTTCAGATTTGTCCCGTTGCTTTTTATATATATTGTTCATTTTCTAATGATGTATATCTTCAGTTCCTTAATTGTAATGTGCATGGCTAACTGCGGAGCTATCTCAGCCGAGAGGCTGCTTGTTAAATTTGCTGTAGAAATTGTTATGAACTCTTAATATTACAAGTGTTCATTTATTATTAGAATTATAGTGAAGCTTGTTGTATTTAAATGACCTCATCAATACCTTCATAGTCAATAACTTAGGCTCATCTCTGTTCTTCCTATTTTTATTCCAGGTTGATCCAGGGAAGTATGGCAACATCATTAATGGGTTCAGAGTGACGTTGAGGGAAGAAAATCTGCGAGCACTTGGCAAAGGGTGGGCACCTACTTGTATTGGCTACTCCATGCAAGGTCTTTGTAAATTTGGATTATATGAAGTATTTAAACTGAAATACAGTGAGCTGATAGGGGAAGTAAGTCAGTTTGATTGTAGTGTTTATTTTAATTTGGATGCATAAATGATACAATGCACTTGATTAGTTCTTCTAAGTGCTACTAAAAACAGAAGAGAAAGAAGTAAAATTACCATGTGCCTCTACAAATTCTGCGTATTTTGCTTAGAGCTGTATTGCCAGTATTAAAGTGGAAACCCTCGTCATACAATGGCCTGGTGAATCACTTCATAACTAAGTAGTCATCACACATTTGTCATTGATTAGATCATGTGAAATTTCAGTTTATGCATATTAATTACCTTTTCAATGATTGACTAGCCATAAGCAAGGTCTGCCCTCAACACTTTCGACTGATTCACTAGTTACTGGTAATCCTTAGATTTCCAGTCCTAACATTGTAGACTGCATATAGCTTTTGAACACCATAGCCATAACATTGATTTGGGCTTTCAACAAATTGTTGCCAAAAATGTAACTTTCGCATTAAAAAACTAATACTAGATTGTCTGGAAAATGCTTTGTTATTGTGTCAGTGTTCTTTAAATACACGTCAAGTTTTAGGATTGTTTGAATGTATTAGCCAGTTCACACACTGAGAAGCTGATCTGCATGAATATTTAAATCGTAAACAGAATTCTTGTATATTTATAGGAGTTGTCTTATTCATGGCGTACAACACTTTATTTGGCTGCTAGTGCTTCAGCTGAGTTCTTTGCTGATATTGCACTGGCCCCGATGGAGGCTGTGAAAGTACGAATGCAAACTCAGCCTGGCTTTGCAAACACACTTCGAGAAGCGTTCCCTAAAATAATGAATGGTGAAGGTGTCAGAGGGTAAGTTATTAAATAATGCTTTTGAATACATGAATTGAACATTGTTTTGGATAAACCAAACATCCTCTGAAACAGAAAACATTTCTCTTTTCTACCATATGTGGTGCATCTCGTTAGTACACAAAAAGTAGGGTGCAGTTTGCAATGATAAAATGTTTGTCTTTCTCTTGAGTGATTCAATCCGAAATATTTCTCTAATTATTCAAGTTTGAAAACTGTAATTTAGCAAGACAAATTATTATAGAATCCATGGTCCATACATATGGATTATTCTGTCAAGGACTATCTAGCTGTAATTCATACTATGATAGATTTGAAACTTAATAATAGTGAGACAATATTGGTCACATGTGTTTACTGTAAATAAATTTAACCACTTTTCAAACAAGTTTTTTAGAATACAAAAAATGACCTCATGAACTGGTAATCTCAAAAACATTAGATGGCATAATTTGTCAAAAAAGCAAAATTTCCATCAAAACACAATCGCTTTCAATGTTTTGTGACCAACCAAAACTGATCAAGAAAATGAATAAGTTGGCACCCTATATATGATTTGTATATTTATTGCACAAATATTCAAAATAATCTACATTCATCAAAGCGGTGAAAAAAGTTCAGTACCCTTTTTACCACCACTTTACATGCAGCAAAATCAATACCAACTAATCATATTTCAACTTCGATAACTAAAAATTTGCTTTCGGGAATGCGTTTTTAAAAAGATTGTCAGTATTTAGAAGCTGTCTGCATTACCATGCGGTATTCTGTCCTATGCATCACGTTCCATCGCTAAAACCATCACAATTCTGTAATTAGTCAAACCTTTAGAACCCAACAAACATGCTAAATAAATTAAGTGGTTGAATTTTTATAGTTTTTACAGTACATTTCATTCTGCAATCTAGTAAAGGGTTCAATGAATGGTTTATGCCAAAAGATGTGATGTTTTGCCTGGAAGCAGTATGGAATGCTGAGCAAAAATTACCCTATAGTAGTGTGATCATATTGCATTGTTTTTAAGAGTCTTGCTGCACCCATTCCATTCTTCAGTGTATTATTGTACATTCAGATTCAACCTCAATTTGCCTTGTGTAGATTTTACAAGGGACTGCCGCCCCTATGGATGAGACAGATTCCATACACAATGATGAAATTCTCGTGTTTTGAAAGAACTGTTGAAGCTTTGTACAAATATTGTGTGCCGAAGCCAAGGAGTGACTGTTCAAAAGGGGAGCAGTTGGTTGTGACATTTGCTGCTGGTTATATCGGTAAGTAAGCTATAAATAGCAAGCATTGTTTTCTGTCATTGTAATAGACTGAAAGTTTGTTTGCGGTGCAGCCTTCTTCATTGTGAGCTGTGCCTTACATGGTGAGAAAAGAAATTTGAGCAGATTAAAAAACAAACATTTAAGAACAAAAAATTAAGAAAATATTTAAGATGCTTGCAGTTATTAAATGCTGTATTTGCTCTATTAGAAGCACATGTGTTAACTTTATGACTCCAATACCTTCACAGGGTCCATAGCGTTTTGAAAATCCTTTGAAAGTCTTTAGATTTTTTTGAGATCTGGATCTTTTGAGTAGTCTTTAAATTAGAGGGGAAAAATGAAAAAAAAAAAATTTGAAGTCTTCAAATTTCTTCATAGTTATTGATTCATTTTAGAAAGGCCTGTTTTCTCCAGGGAACTACCACATCCTCAGAACTTTGATGAGCTTTAGTGGAAAAGTCTTTGAAATAATTTGGCTCTTGGTGCTATGGACCCTGCTTCAGCATACGAGAATTCTTTCTAAGCTTCCTTTGATTTTTCTTGTAATGTGAAAAACCTGTGGCCCCTTGATAGTTCAGTGTTCTCCCCAGGATCAGAGGCAAGCATGGTGGACTAATTTGCATACTAATTTGCATATTTTTCAGCATTCACTCACAAAAACAAACATACAAGACAGTAGTAAAATGTACGACAAGAGACTCTTTACATTACATAATACTTTACATAATATACCATAGTTTGACAAGATCGTCATTTAATACGAACTGTTAAACTTAGTCTAAACTAATCCTCCTTGACTTTGCTGTGCTCCAAACATTGGCTGCCTTACTGTAAAATCTTGGGTAGCTGGGCCTTCTGCACTTGAGTATAACAGATCACTAAGAATCTTCTGAGACAACTATTTCTAACTACAACTTCTCTGCTCTTGTGTGTAAAATCCGACTTAGAATGCGATGTAACACTGTCCTTTCTCGTAGACGTGCATGGGACTTTGTTCCATACAGAAGACCCATTCTGCGCAATCATGTTGTGTTTTGAGCATAAACTGCACAACATTTCTAGTGAGAAAAATGAAAAATAAAAAAAAAAACACAATGAGGATTGAGGTCCAAATAAATGTTAACATAACAATTGAATTGTGCCACGGCCAGGGACCCAATGCCGTATGAATAGCATACAGTCTGCAAAACATGTTGTTTACGTGTTGGTTTTGTCAGGTCAATGACAAGGAGACTCAGGAAGTTTGAGGAAAATAAACATGAGGTCAATATTCAATTAAAATGTAACGATAGAATTATGTATACAAATCGGGATTCCATCGATCATAGCTCGTGGCAATAGCTGCTGTTGTTCGCAAGACGTCGACAGGCCGCCATCTTGGAAATACCCACACAGGTCAACATGTGACCAGAAGATTACAAAAAAATTAGATTTTTTTTTTGTTTGGACAAATGATAACATTACACGTACCTATGAAGATATCCATAAATAATCTAAAAAAAGTTGACAGTAACGAGTGATGTTTTTTTTATGCCTTTACCAGCCTCGCGTTTTAGCCGGGCGGCATCACCTTTTTTCCTTTGCATGTTTTGTCATATAGCATCTTGGTGTTCAACTATTTGCAACTTGAGTGACAACTTGTTCCCCATTGACAGCGTCCGTACTTCACACGTGTTTAACAATGGGACTGTTCAATTCGTCCCAGCAAGTTCAAACCGCCGTGGCGTTGACACTTGTAGACGGTGATAATTAATGTAGTGCTACGTGTGAGTGGGTCAAATGGATGTAAACAATGCATCCTGTTGGATGCATGTCCATGACGATTTGTTTCAAAATCTGGTCAAGGATGGCCAATTGACAGCTATCTGACTTTTAGGCCTTGCTACTATATTTCCACCATATTTATTCGTATTTGGCACATACATCATACATATCAGTGTGTTTCATAATCAGATCAAAGTTGGCCGAATAACTGCTGTTTTTATTTTTGGCCATATTACTACTACCCGGAACACGTGTTTTACAATCTGTTGTATGCGCCACTTGGAAATCAAGTTTCAAGGACACGCTCGCGACAACCCCTCAGCTTTAATATGACGAGCACAAAGAGAACTTTCAAAAATTTAACGGGGACTGTGTCATTTTCAATGACTTAACTTCATTTTTATGTAACATGATGTATCAAATATTTAAATGACAATGATTACTCTGTAGCATTTTGTCTTCAGTTGTAATTATTGGTATGTTGCAGGTATGTTGAATATTGCATACAACTTAATTGAGTTTATTATTTCATTTTAATTTTATAGCTGGTGTATTCTGTGCCATTGTATCTCATCCTGCTGACACTGTTGTATCTAAACTGAATCAAGATACTGGCAGTACTCCAATTGAAGTTGCAAAGAAACTTGGAATGAAAGGTGAGTAGTTCTGTGGGCTTTTTTTGTTGTCTTCCAGTTGCCAAACACACTTCCTTAGATCCACTCTTGGGACGATTACTTAATCATCCAGCAACACTTTCGTTGTTTCATCAAGAGTGCTTGAGTCATTGGTGTGTGATATAAATATACCTGCATTGTTGGCCCAATTACTCATTGCCTACATGTGTTATCACTGACTTGATTGTCTTTGACATCACAGGTTACCTTTGTGCTACGAGTTTTTAGCTGGTGATGTGGACAAAGTGTGGTTGAAGTGGTTTATTTTTAGTGAAAGTTGTATTTCAAGAGCATTCATAAAGCTTTATTGGGGCTTGGCTAGATTATGCAAAATATGAATATGAACACAGATCATTCAGTGTTATTGGAGTATTGTATTTATATTGTGAAATATTTAATGGTCTGAATTTGTGCTTTTCAGTGTGTTCAAACCTTGTCATAATTTTGGCTTCATATTTGATTGTTGCTATTCTAATGCTTTGGAAGTGTTTCAATGCATGACACTTGAGGCGTGAAACAGCCCTGATTTAACTCTTCAGAAATACTGCTCATTGCAGTAATGCAAAATCCTGACAAATCATAGCTACATGCATGTCCCACTATTACCATAAATTCAGATTATCAAATATTTCACAATACATTCTGAAAAATGTACAATACTGTGGTATTCATAGTAAGTTTGAAAATTGCCCTTGCAATGTCACTCTTAATTGGGATGGAGGTGTTGTCATATATTCTATTGATAAATGAATATATTATAAATTCTATACTTCTTTACTTTGTCAACTCTTGCAAGCTGCACTGCACTTTGTGTGCAAGTTATTGTATTTAGACTTGTATTTACAACTTTGTAATATTTCAAATTACAGGACTATGGAATGGTCTTTTCCCACGTATTATCATGATTGGTACCCTGACAGCATTGCAATGGTTCATCTACGATGCTGTCAAGGTCTACTTCCGTATGCCACGACCTCCGCCACCAGAGATGCCTGAAAGTCTTCGTCTGAAGCTTGAAGCCAAGAAACAATAAACTGAATGACTTTGCATTATTGTGTGACCTGCTTTGGGTGTGATAAAAACAAATATTTAAAATGAAGTTTACTGTACAAGAGGTTGACAGAATGCACTAAATTATAAATACTGAAAAGCAAAAACTGTTCTTAGATAAAAAAATTCTTTGTACAAAAAAACAATAAAATATTCTTTTCCCCCTATATATACATTTTTTCCCCAGTACAAATTTTGAAGGACCTATACAATTGTGACTCTCAGAATTTTAAAAGAAACTAGTTTGAAACAAGCTGGGGAAAATTTAAATGGGATATTTTAAACCAAACTAGTGTTCCGTGGCACACAAGTGTTGAAATTCATGTGGAACTATTTAAGACCAATAAAAAAAATTAATATTTTATGTTACTCATTTTTGTGTGAACAATCGATTTTTTTGGGGGGGGGGGGTGTTGGCTGGTGAGTACATATTAGCATAGTCTCTGCAAACTACTCTTAGAGTGTTTTCACACAAGTCAGCTGATATACATGTATACTGGTAAGTGATTTAATCTACCAAAATTTTACAATATTGGATAGCCATTTTTAATAGGCCTCGAGACAAGTTGAAAAAAAATGCCAAACTTGAACATTCACAAACTATACATTTTGGCAACACGATTTGGCCAAATTTGTAATCTTAAAGAAAAATCTTAAACTTCTGGAATTGTCTATTGCAAAACAATTTGACAATCATTTTGACAAGTTCCTAGCTAGAGTTCTAAGTGATTTTATTGCAGTCAAAATTGTATCATTTCGAACTGCACACGCATTTTAATTAGGTAAATTGTTGCCAGCAAGTTATTAAAAACATTTTGAGCAATAGTCGGGAGCATTTTCCCCGTGGATTTCTAAGCCGCAGGGCTCTATTTTCTGAAACTTCTAAATTCAAGCAAAAAAATTGGGGGGGGGGGTAAGTAGGGATACAGATCTTGATTATTCACCGGAAGTAAATGTGCTGTCGAATCATTGTGGCATGCAAGAGGTCTGTATCGGTGTATGGTCGAAGCCTATACACCAACGGCATCATTTTTAGTTCCTGTTCAGGCACAGCCTGAAAAGGGGACTTTATAATTCTACAGCAGGTATCAGTGAAACTTGGCAGGTTGATGAACAAGTGTCTTCCGATTATGCACGTAATTGTTTTTCAGATCTGAAAATTCCAAGTGGGTCTTTTTCACGATTTTTATCGAAAATTACCTCTCCCGGCAACATTGACAGAACGTCTGCGCATGCTCAGAATAAATTAATTACTGTAAAATACTTTATTTTTGCTTGCAACATTCTTTTGCTATTTTCGCTGAAGGAATGTTTCAGTTAAAATAAAATCCAGCGAATATTCCCTTTTTCCTATATTTTACAGTCAAACTTGTCAAAAATCAATGAAAATAAATTCAATACAAAAAACAGCCAGAAAGTCTTTTCAGCGAATGATAATTCCAGCTGAAATTAAATGTTTTACAGTAGATTAGATCTGTGAGTAATGCTACAGCACGTGATTTCTCCATTGCGTGCAATTTATTATACCCGGTAGTACTGTTTATACATGTATTCTGTTCGGCTCAGTGGTCTCATTCACTAGTTACTACAACTCGGGGAGGGGGGGTGGTCCCTGTGTCGATCATCTTATTCATTATATAATAGTAGGTTGCCTATGATTATATTCGTATTTTTATGTTGTGAGCATTAAACTGTTAGTTGTAATGAAGATTTTGCCGATCTCGTGCGATTCAACATGGTAGCTGTGGAATCATAGCCCTATGTTGCCGACCGCATTATTTACGTGACTGACTCTGGCCGGCCCATATGTTCGACGTACAACAACAAAATTTAAAAAAAGACGTCCAAATGAAATTGTTAGGGGGAAATTCGATTGTAGGTCGCACCAAAGAGCTACGGAACCGCAGCTATTCAACATGGCTGATGTGCAGTGACAACACGTGTATGGACGGTCTGTCGAGTAGTCTGCAACGGACCATGAAATCGCCCGGCGTTTTTTTTATAGTTTTTTTAAATATATTAGGTATTTCATTCACTCCTGGTGCCTAAAAGAGTCTAATTTATATTTTACCATAGTCATTGACACCTATTGTGAATAGCCCGAATGGGTAAGCTTCGTTTTGACAATGAGCTGTTATTTCTGCGAACAATGTTAAATTATTCTTTGAATGTTCAGTTTATATTTTGAAAACAACTAATTTTTTGATTAAAAAAAAATTATGCCGTTTTCCCCGTCAAAATCAAAGCATAAACATCTTGCCAGAACATCGGTAAATCTACTACCGCGTTGCGTTCACCACGAGGTCACTGAACCGTCATTAACATATTTAAATGAGCCACATGTAAATGAGAGCATGGCGGATATCGTATCGCTTTGAGCATTTACATTCGACCGAAATCATTCGTTTACGATGAAACTAAGTTGAATATTACTTCCAATTTATAAAAATTCAACGAATTAAATTTTTGTGCGTTATTATAATCATTACTGAATAATAATCAACAATTGCAATACTTCGAAAACAAGTAAGTTATTCACTTGCGAAACACAGAATGACCAGATTGTGCTACCGTGATCATTCGCTACCGGTACTAACCACTAAGCAATGTGTTTGTATTTATTCGAAACTTCTTTTAGAACATACTTTACTTTTCGTTATCAACAAGATTATAAAAAAAATAATGCATGTTACAGTATGTGAATTTTTTTTTTTTTTTTGGGGGGGGGGATTCAATTCCAACATTTCGCGATGCCTATGAACCAAAGGCCTTTCTCTCTTCTCTGAGTGTGACACCTAAACCAGAGGTTTTATGGTGTATAAACTGGCACTAAATGAAAAGGCTGTTGAACCTTATTCAAATTTATAAGTACATGTTATTATGCATTTCATTATGAAAACTGACTAAATTAAATGTGATCTTATTTTTAATTATGATTATGATTTATATCGGTAATGACGTTTTCATCCAATATTAATTGTGCAATTGTTAAAATGCCTACCTACACATTTATTGTTTTTGTTTCTGTTGCCCTGAAATAGACATTTGTAAAAAGAAAAAAATTAAAAAATCATGCTTCATTAAAATTCAAAAAAAAGATGTAGTCATGTAGCCCCTTCCTGTTACCTGTTTTCAACTTCTTCCAAAGTAAATCTGGCGAAGCCTTGTAATTGCCATACAATCATCTACTGTAGGAAAACTTGTATGTTATTGAAAATCTTTATTTTGTTGTCTGTGAATTAATATAATATTTGAAATGGCGTGATGGTGCAAAATATTCTCAAACAATCAGTCTTCTGATGACACTACACTGCGCATTTATGCACAGTCAGTATCCCAATGCGCGATCACAGCTTACTAAGTGATGATGGTGGTTGAAATGGAAAACTGAATACAAAAATCCAGTAATATCTCAAACGAATTTATGTCTGCTGTGAATGCATGTTTCGTTGCATGAAATAAATAACCCAATTTTATGATAGACAATCTTGTGCCATACAGGGTCAAGTGATTGAGCAATAACAAATGTGATTTTACGTATTAGGTCATTGAATGTATCCAAGAACATGCTACCAATGATCTGAAATTTCAGGAGTGCTCGCTGAAGGTTTATCAATCCTGCGTATTGTCTTGTTCTTTTTCAATCCTGCATTTCAGTTACTAGAATTTATACTAAATAAATAGTTTCTGTTTTTCTTCTAATAATTCGGTCACTCTCAAAAAAACAAGATATTTTTCCATGGTCGAAATGCAAGAAGAATACAAAACTACTGTGATTTCATAGCGATACCTGTAGGGCCATTGTCAATTAGTTTGCCTGATCAACACAGCATTATACATAGGACTGATATTGAATCACGGAGAGTAAAATCTTGTGATACTAATCTCTAGAACCACTCAGATTGGTACATATGTCTTATGAACCCACATGTGTATATCTTTGACTATACTCATTTTAAACTTTTTTTTTACAGTGGTGCTGTGAACTGAATTGAACATGTGAACATGAAGTGTCAGGGACTTTATTGAAATGTTGTACACAAATTTCATAAAATTCTGAATATATCGGTATCTAGAAGTCAAAATTAAATGGTTTAAAGTATTTTATTTCACTGCACTAAAAAGACTTCAAACAATTATTGTTACTTCTCCATTGAAGGTTATGAGCAGACCAACCTTTACTTGCTCTGAAAACATAGCTTTTACAATTTTTTTAAATTGACAGATGTTCTTCTATGTACAATGAATACATTTTAAATAATAAACCTTACTGTGTTAATAACAAATTGTATTTGACAACATAAGAATGATTCTGATGCCCAGTGGTGATGTTGAAACAAACCCAGGTCCTGGCAATATACTAAGACCTGATTAACAAAGAAGTCATGTACATCAAGGTTCACTCAGATTTATGAATGCAGTTTCTTGAGCAAGTATACATGTATGACAAATAGTTTTGTTGCACTTGTGTACTCTGAGATTCTGAACATGGGTCAGTGGAAGTTTTTAGTTGTCAGTACAAAACAAGATCATCTGAAATCACTTTATGATGAATTGTCACCACAAAGAGTACATATTTATTCACCTGTTTGCAGATGTTCCTTGTACAACTTTATAATCAAATAACTGGGACTGTGACATTTCATGTCTTGTTTTGTTTCAATTGTTAGTGGCGCTCGACAGTCTACAAATTTCATGCTGCAATAATGGTGAAGTTGGTTACAAAAGACGAGTCAGCTGTGCAAGAGATAGATGGACATTAGGAACAAATTTTGTTGGGCATTGCTTGACAAGGAAGTGACTTTGACCGTGTGAATTGGGAAGAAAGATGAAAGTGGTAACTGGTGACCCCGGCTACCTTACTTTCAGCTGAAAATTAAAATTCTCATTCTCATCCCAGAATAGTACTTGAGTGAAGTATCAACATGCTTCTGCATTCTTCATAAACTTCGTAACTTCTATGATCACGTTAACGAAAAAACCTGTAGTGGTTTGCTGCATAAAACACTTAAAACAAGTTTTTTTCAATTTTTTTTTCAGCCTGTAATGATAGAATCGGGCAATTTATAACCTTGTTGGCTATAAGCATTTTAGCATAGTTTTACTGAAGACGAATATTTCATTGCTCATGAATATTAATTTATGCAAATGAGACTATTATTTCAACCAATTGTCAATTCCAGCTGGTTGATAAATGTAAATCCAAATCTTGTTGGCTTTTAAAAAAACAGCAGAGAAATATGCATAATTGGTCGAAGGAGCATGACATGATTGGTTGAAATAATAGTCATTCAGTCGAAGTCCTGCACTTTTTGGGCTTCATAATAAAAGTTTACAATTTTGAACCAGATTGTAACCATCGTTATTTTTGTC